CATGAGTTGATCATGCGGAAGCGGAAGATGTTCTTCATTTTCATATCTTTTATTTATATGGTCTGAATTTTGTGCGCGTTTTGTGGCTGATGATTCAATCCGCTTGCTGTCATGGGAGGCTTCCAAGACCCATCAACGTTAACCTTCAGAAACAAGCTAAGCCAGGAGGAGGCTCCCATGTCTCCAATGGAGTTGTTAGGGTTGACAGATGCTCTGTGGATTTCGACGGTATCAAAGAGGAGAGCCAAACCACAGTGGCTGTGGGGCAGTTTAGGGGCACAATATGGGACAGATGGGCGGTTGACGGCGGCCGAGGTTAGTCTTAGTTGGCAGCGCCATTGACAATGCACGCCATAGAAAATAAATCACCTTGGCCACTGCCTACATCTTCGGTAAAGCTTTCCAGATCGATGCATCAGGGCACGTGACGTATGAGCACTGTACGAGCAGTTGGGATTGTTGCTGCGTGGAGCCAATGGTAGCCACTCCGAACCGTGTACATCCCTTTAGTTCTCTAAGCCCTTGAACAGTAAGTTTGGGGACTCATTAAAAAAATATATAGTTGTTATTGGGCCTAATGATATATGAGAGAGCACTAGACTACTTGAGAATGAGAAAGACCAAGATATTAGGCCTACAAGTCAGCCCAAAAACCTCACTACCTCGATAATGAAGATGACTGCCGTCGAACAACTGCTATGAGCCTTATATTGTTTGCCAGCAAGAAGGAGTGCATAACTTAAAGTACTGTCCGACCACTCAAGGTAGTTGGTAATCCAAACAAATTTTCTGCTCTAACAAAGCTCCAAGGGTAAGTTTTCCCAGACATTAACTTAGGGCCATGCGTTGGCCATCGATGAGAACAAAAGTCTTTGAAGGGAACATAAATGCTGTCAAAGCCTAACGCTCCACTAAAATGCTTTTTAACCACTCTTTAGAAGAGTGAAATTACATTACTTTATTTAGAGAGCTATTGCAATCCATATTAGATATACATATCAGACCACTGCAGTGGACGTACCCTATTTCTTAAGGTGAACCGCTTAAAAGTTAAATCTTGTTGTCAATTATCTAGCTTTATAGTCTCAAGCCCATCAAAAGTTAAGCATACTGATCATTGCTGATCTCCCCATTTTGAGTAGGCACTTGTCCAACCTTTCCTGCCAATACAATGGCATCATTTTCTTCCCTAAACCAGGTGTACTTTGGGCCAGTGAACTCCACGTCAAAGAGATTATTAGCATCGACAAAATCTCTTAAAAATCTTCTTCTGTTTGGGCTCCATGGGGAGCCCCATCCTTCTCATAATACCACTCATTTCATCGAAATCAACCAGACATATCCAAGGACAAGTGATGTTGTTGCCAAAATCTCGACTTTTCTTGACGCCACAAGTACGGGTGGCCATAAACAAAGACCACTTCCAAACGCATGTACTTTGCCTGACCTCCCAACCAACAGTCGTCCCGCAATTATACGAGTTTTGTGCGCTGTCATTCGGCCAACAGGGATGCCATGGGCCTGTATCCAAAAGGTGGCCTCGCAGGGAACAATTTCCTGCAGTGAGCACTGCTCTGGCCAGTGGCCATGGTTGCAGCGATAACACATCTTCAAGAACAAATCATGTTCCACGTACAATTGCGCAATCTTCAGCCGAGCCACCCTCTTTGAAGGGCAAGTTCAACACCACGTAAGAGTGGGTCCTTCTCAGCAATGTGGAACCCAGCCAGGCTAACCCGACAGCGAGTATCATGTGGATTGATGGGGCTTTCACTTCGTACTGGTATGATATGAGGTTGGTCTTACTAATTAGGCACTCAATTGATGAACAGATAAAGTTAGTCTATGTTCAATCTCACCATGTGCTCAACACTCGTAGTAGAAGATCGTGCTAACTTTGGTGCAATATACATCAACTTTAATAAAAACATTTTCATTAAAAGCGTTTTTGGTCATTTTAAAAACACCTTCGAACGACCTAAAAATATATTATCGGTTGTATGCCAGAATCTCCGCAATTGATGTCCAAAATAAATGAATGGACACCTGAGGAACGTGGCCCCATTAGAACAACATACAACAAAGTGGCCTTTCTTTCTTTCTTTCCTTCCTTCTTTTTTTCTTTCATTATCACATTCACACACACATATATCGTTGGTAGCAGCAAGACGACGTCGGCGCATCACGTGGAGCTAACCTACGCTTGGCTCCAAGCAACCAGTAGCATGTGCCATGTGGTGGTCCCTACGGGATTTGTCCGTTAGAACCTTCTAACTAACATAGATTTTTCAGTATGATCGTCACACAGTATGGTATATCACATGTCACTATATAAATGGTGGGATATGTGTATTAAAAAGTTAATAACTTAAAAAATAAAATTTTCCATCACTTACTTAAAAACACGTGATGTACCACTCATATTCTCGTTACAACTAAAAAATTTCTCCTAACTATGACTCTTGGTGCAAAATCGCATAGGGGCTATTTAGTCAATTCAACGTTCCTTACATCCCACTATTCCATTTTCCGACCAGACCTTTGTCACGCGCATTTTGTTCGTCGGGTCCAGTCGGGTCGGGTCCCCATTAGGATATTGCGTGGTTGTGTCATCTGCGTGTCATCATGTGCGCGAGCTGCGTACTTTAGCATTTGGTGGACCGTGTAAGTGTGGGCCCACTTCATCATTACGGAAATGAGTCATATCATATGAGCTGGCTTCGCCATAACAGAAGGATCCCACAAACGATCCGGAGGGGATATGGGTTCCACAAACCATATATAGAACTTTTTATTTTGCACTTTTTGGAAGTAAAATTACCTTTTTTTTTCTTTTTTTTTGTGTTTAAATTTTAATGCGAATTCAAACTTGAATGTGTAAAAGAGCACATTTTTTCTGATCAATGTCATGTCTAACGACTAACGCTGTATACTTGTATGATTTCAAGCTACTTACTTTCTGTGTGTTTGGAATTACTTTTAAAATAATTGAAATCGTATTTAATGAAAGTGTTTTTAAAACTAATCTTTAATAAAATTGCAGGCGAATCTTAAAAAAACACTTGAAGTGCCTCCTAAGAACATTTTGACGAAAAAAGTTTTCAGTAATTTTAAAAACATTTCCAAACGAACCATTTATTTGTTGATACAAACCGAGTGACAAGCAATTGATTTTGAATCCCTCAGTCAACCTCAATAAGGCTCACAAATTAATTGTCCTATTTCTTTTGCGTTTGACGATCACAATTTTTTTTCTTTTTATAAACCATAAAGAATGACCGCTCGAGACTTTCAGTGCAATAGTGAATTCTCGTAATCAACTGAATACAAGCACCTTATAATTGTCTATTTTAAGTTAAGAAGACAATATTTCATTTGAATTCAACCATGGGCGATGCTCATTAAGGCATCTCAAATGCATGAACTTGATCATTGTAATTTAGTAAAATATCCAAATTGGGTTACATTGTTTTCCCTATTTTGTTTTGTTTTAGTTTTGTAAAACACGCTTAAATGCTTTTTATTGACAAATGGAAATATGGGGTCAACCGGTCAACACCAAATTGGTGGCTTTCGTTCTTTAAAAAAAAAAAAACACTTAAATGCTTTTTGTTGACAAATGGAAATTTGGGTCAACGCCAAATTGATGGCTTTCACACTAAATTAGGAGATTAATGTTCGCTAAATAAGATCACACTTCAAAAAAGTAGAAGATAAAAATATCTAAAATTTTCACAAGCCTAAAAATCAACAAGTAACACCATTACACAATAGACACACGGTTGGTCATAGGACCGATTTCTAACGTTGGTGAATCACACAATGTGATCAAAAGAGACTGAAATGCTTATGTTAATTTTCCCAACCTTTTCAAAAAAAAAAAAAAGTAACAACATCACCGAACTTAAAGAGAACGTTTTAACTTTTCAAAACACAACCTAAAATTGCAAAGTTTTGGAGCACTATTTTGCAATTTCTGCAAAATAGGTCACGAGCCTCTCTGTGCAAATTTATGGATTTTAACAGCAAACATGCTCTGTACGACTGTGTGGTGCAATCAGTTTAGTTTGGCTCCTTTCTCTTCTTATAATTAAGGCGCTTTTTATATCTTTTTCCTCCTTCTTTGACTTAAATGTGGGTTCATATTGTTGTTTTCTAATGCACTACGTGCCTCAGCACTAGGCGATCACAAACAAAGCAACAAATAGACAGATTGACACACTAAGAAATGTAAGACCATGTCGGTCAATAAGGCGAAATTTTGAGCGTAACAGTCGCACCGTCAAGTCGTATTATATATTTACATGTTATAAGAACAAGTCTACTAAGTGGTGAAAAGTAAGAGCAAAGGCAACAATAATGCCCTTCGTCCCTAAAATCATCTCCACCAGTCCAACAAAGCAAGGGTAAGTGGTGGACCAACCAATGCCTACCCAAAAGTTCGTGCATCTTAGGTCCGGCCTTGTGCCAGCGGCAAACTGATGTCAGTCACGATTTATTTATTTATTTTTTCTGTCAGGCGCATATAACACCTGCGCGAAGGAGAGTGGCGCCGATAATGTTGATATATTATAAAGAAATAAACTCAAGCATATTATCCGATATCTATTCATTGTATCCCTAAACCCCATATGCTAAACGTCTAATCGAACAAACAATATGTTATGCAAAATAGTTAAACACGCATGACAGTACTTATTAGATGAAAGTACTGCCATAGCGGTGTCCCAATTGTAGGAAAATTCTTTTTATGGTGTGACACACGTGAATTTGTAAAAGTCATTTTGTCAAATAGTGAAACAAAAAGGTTAATAGTATCAACCCAAAAAAGAAAGAAGCAAAAGGGAGAAGATTAGGTGGGGTTTAATGTTAAAAGTTAAAACACACCTGTAAATGACAATAAAAAATAGGGATTAGCTTATATAATACATATTACAAATTAATTAAATAAAAAATAAGTAAAAAACTATCAATTTCTTGCTTTTTTTTTCCAATTTCCCACACTCATTCTCTGTCTTTTTGTTTCGCTTCACTCCCAACCAGTACATCTCCTCGCTGGCCATCTCCAATCTCAAGCAGCTTATCTCGTACATTTCTTCCCCATTAGATTTTCTTCTATATTTTTGGGATTTTAATCTGCAAATTAATGGTGCCGTAGCTTATCTTCCACAACCATTAATCCCAAAATTTCCGCTCAAGAAACAAGATGTGCTGATTACCCGGGAATCGGTTTCCTTCCTTCTTCTCTCCGATCCCCGAATCGGATTCTGCAGTCGTGAAACCGCGGCTGAATCTTTCTCTGTGTTTTCCCGTCGGATTTGGTCAAAATGCAGGCGTTTTCAGAACCCCGTTAAAGCTCTGATTCTTTCGCCACCTAATTGTGTCTCGGGGTTGTTGGGAAGCCATTTACTGCTGTGATCTTTTTTGGCGAGAGAATTCAATGGCGAGATTCTTGAAGAGCGTCGGGTTCTCACGTGCCTTCTGGTTGCGAATTCTTTTGAGGGATTTGTATTTCCTCGTGGGTTTTTGAGGTGCATGCTCTTTTTACACTCAGCTGTCGAGAAACCCAGAAAGCTCCGCCGCAAACCGACGCAAATACGTCAAGATTTAGGGCTTTGCGCTGAAACCCAGAAAAGCTCCGCCGCAAAGATCAGGTATTTAGCTGCCCCTGTTAAAATCTCCACCTGGGTTCTTGATCTTTGTACTGAATCTACTGTTTTCTTTCTCCTTTTATTGGTCTGAATTATGATAGTGTGATAATCTCACTGCTCAAATTTGACCGTTTGAAGAAGAAAGAGGGGAGAGATTCTCGGGTCGCTTTCAATTTCTATTTATTTCGTTCGTATTAAATGGGTTTATTGCGAAGAATCGGGGTTTTTATTTCTTCGAGCTGAAAAGATTCGAAGGCCAAGCCCTTTGAGTCTCTGAGAGATCTTCTTTTACAAGGATTCCAAAGGGAAAAGCAAAATCTGAAGAATTGCAACGGTTGAAACCTTCAAAGTCGCTTTATAAAAAACACATTATCTGAGCCTGACAAATCATTCTTTCCTTTATCAAGTATCCGGTGTTTCTATTAGTTGGAGAGATATAATGGATTTACAAGTCGAAAACCAGAGGTTTTGAAGCTTGAATTTGCAGAATTTTTTGCACATTCTCAGTTATCGTTCTTTGGATCCGAAGTGTTATAAATAGGAAGTCTTCTGGGTGCACATCTGGGAATTGGGTTTCTACCAAATTGGATTTGAGTGGCACTGTGCTGATTTTTAAAGTTTCGAAGCATCGATGGGGCTTCTTTGCCGAAGTCTCTTGATGCTGTTTTTTGTGATATGTTTCTCCCGGCTGCCTGATGTGTCTGCACAATCCTCAAGAGGCTCAGCACCCGGTCTTGATGCGCTTCTGCAAGATTATGCCTACAGGGCTTTTGTTCATCCCAAGACTGGTGTTATATTTGATGGTAGTGTTCCCTCGAATTTGACTGGAATTCAGATTGCAGCAATGAGGCTCAGGAGTGGTAGCTTGTACAGAAAAGGTTTTGACATGTACAAAGAGTTTGAGATCCCCGAGGGTGTCACTGAGAGTCCGTATGTGGAGAGGCTTGTTTTGGTGTACCAAAACTTGGGCAATTGGTCAATGGTATATTACCCATTACCTGGTTACTCTTACTTAGCTCCAGTACTCGGTCTTCTTGCTTATGATGCTGGCAACCTATCAGCGAAAAATCTGCCCGAATTGGATATCAGGGCATCTGGTGATCCCATAACGATCGAATTCCAGGATGTGAAACCGGCCCCTGCAGGGACAATGGCAAAGTGTGTTTCGTTTGATTTGGACGGTTCAGTCAATTTCAGCAATGTGGAATCAGGCAATATATGCTCAACAGTCCAACAGGGGCACTTCTCTATAGCGGTTGAGTCCACTGCTCCTTCTCCAGCACCAGTCTCTCCAAGTCCTACCCCTAGTGGTAAACGAAAGAAGAAGAGTAATACGAAAGTGTGGATAATTGTTGGGTCTGTGGTGGGTGGATTAGCATTGTTGGCATTGTTGTCGTTCTTAGTACTATGGGCGAAAAAGTACAGGGAAAGGAAGAATTTACAACGGATGGAGAAGGCAGCAGATGTAGGAGAAGCCTTGCAAATGACCTCAGTCGGAGATGCAAAGGCACCTGCAGCAACATTCACGCGAACGCAACCAACCATCGAGACTGAATACGTTCCTTGATTCCTCCCACCATTTTGTACAAGCTTCCAGTTCTTTCCGACCACCATTCAACAATTAAAGTTCAATTCGTGCATTCAGAAATTCGTCCAGTCACACCTTTTTATGGTGGTGCCTCCTTCATCTGCGCTCTACGCTTTGCTCTTCTTTGGTAGATTCTTTGTGTCACTGTGGGTAATCCAGGATTTTTTTGTGTAAATCTGTTGTCACTCACTGATAGTTTACTACGATTCATTGTTGGTGTGAAACCGTGAAATTTAGCCGAAAGTGATTCCTATATGTCATGAATTTAGTTGTTTCATTGAGAAGAAATCATAAGTTTCATTTGCACATCCTCTTGTTTTCTCTACTGTCTCATCTTTCTAGCATTCCTTCCTTCCAACATGTTGGCAATTTGTAAGAACTTGATTCTGTCTTGCAAGTTTTGGGTAACTAGTTTATGAGCTGTGTGAATTGGGATTTGACTTGGAGCAAAAGTTACGGTAGCTTTTCTGATATCTGAGTAATTCTTTTGGATGATGCTTCCACTTTCCGGGCAATTTGGGATTTGATATGGATGTAATATTTTAACCATTAGATGTGACGGGTTCAGCCATCCCCTCCGATGGTACGTCTTACCAAATGAACAACGTCATATTATGTGTTTCTGCGCTTTAGAATGACATTGCATTATCGGTTTGGGATGTCGGTAAGTTGCAATCAATCGTTTTCTGCTCCTTTTTACTGTGAGATTATATCTTTTGATTATCCTATGAGATTGCAGATGGCTGCGGAATCCTTACTTTATTTTCTGCCATGACTAATGACTAAACGCACCGTCCAATAATTTTGTAGTTTTGTCATTTTCTTTGTTCAGTGCTGTCAGCTCTAGCTTTGTCTTTGCTCTCCTCCACCTGCCATTTTTTCAATAAACATACAAATAAAAGACTATTATATTTATTTATTTATTTTCCCAGAGAAATATTAAATAATGTAGTATACAGTTTACTTTATTTTTTATATGAATTTCAGGTCCAAAGTTTTGTGTATTAATTGGAATTCTATATTCTTTGGCTCCTCTTTTTGTTTTAAATGCGGGTTTTAATAAAAATAAAATAATAATTAACAAAAGTTTTACTAAATAAAAGTTTCAAAAAAACAATAAATAATAAGGGAGCAATAAACAAAGAATAATGGCACCCAACACCAACAGCTCAAATTGCAAGAGTGGGTGTCAAGGAAGCAAGCTCCAATCCTTTCCTTCCACCTCCTCATTTCATAATTCAGATCCTATGATGGATGAAATTTTTTTTTTTTTCAACTAGAAACTTTTATTAATTAAAAAAAACGATTACATGAAATAGAAAGCTCAAACGCAGTCCAAATACAAACATAGCTCATAAGAAAATACAATAAAAAAGGTCAAAAAGAACGAGCCCACAACAAAAAAAAAAAATCTTAAATTTGAAAGACTGATGTCTCCATCACATCAGCTCTTTTAAATAATAAGAGAGCAATAAAAATAGGAAATTGTTATTAGCATTCTAAAAATCTTATTTGGCACTCTATACTTTCTATAATTAGAAAGAAAAATACACTTATGTTATGATGAGTGTAGAATAAGACTTTTAAAGTGCTAATAACAATTCCCTAAAAATAAAATAACAATTGAAAAAAGTTGAAAAGAAATAAATAAATAATAAGAGAGGAATAAACAAAAAACAATGGCACCCAACACCGACACCAACACCTCAAATGCAAGAGTGAGTGCCAAGGAATCAAGCTCCAAACACCAAGACAAGGTAGCACCAATCATTTTCTTCCACCTCGTTTCATATCATGTAAGGGATGACTATATGATCAGTTGCTCACTCATTGATGATAACACCGTATTTATTACAGTTAAATGCATTTAAATGTTGAAATCTATATAATTTAAACTAATTCAATAGAAGTAATAAGTAAAGTAGTGAAAAAAATGCACCCTCGTTAATGGCCATATTTCCATTTGACATTATTTTAAAAAAGTACTAAAAGCTTTCCGACAAATTTTGATTGCGTCTGGCATAAAAAGTTATAAGTACTTGTAAATTATAGAAGAGCTTTTTGACATGCTTCTAGTGAAAGCACTTGTGATAAAGGTGATCATGCGCAGAAATGCTTCTTACGGAAGCAAATCCCCAAACAAACACTACGCCAAGAGGGATTCATGACGTGTTTTATTAACTTGTAATTGTGAATTGTGATAGTCATGTTCCGAGAAAATTAGAATACGGAATATACCAGATAGTATGTTCTCTGAATGCAAGAGCAGCTCTTACTCTCCACGAGTAATTAGCAATGAACAATCTACCTTCAGCGGCATCATTATATTTCTACTGTATAATTGTATACATATCTACGGAGTAGATACGGTCTCACCTACTGCAAATAATTCGTGTGGACGATAAAAATCGCTGGCACTAACTGTGTGACGGGAAAGACATACCCGAATCACATCCAAAGGTTAACATTACAAATAAAATCACTCGAGTACATAAGTTTTCCCATAACCAGTCTGACAGCTTATGCAAGTTCTTATACAACGAAAAGACTAGTGATTGGAGTTGCTCATAGGCTCTTTCTGAATGGGATCATGACTTTATTGCTTCTCGAAATTCCATTCACAACGGTTCCTGCAGTTTGAAGCACAGAGTATCATAAGATTCGTAGTCCAGATATTGTAAATCATACACATGCTTACACAGAGTAATGGAGGCACTGGAGTTAAACACGAAAGGATCCCGTTCAGTTCATGTTTCAAGTCCTAGCACATGAAAGCTGCCAAAGCCTCTAAATAAAAGGGTTCCTGAAAGGTTGAAACTATCCCTCAAGAGAGGACGTTGGTATATGCATTGCATGTATCCCTTTAAACGTCTCTTAGTTTCTTTAAAGCTGGGCTCTTGTATCGTGAAATCACAATGCTTGTTCCTCTAAAGACCATACACAAGCTAGTAACTATAAATTAGAGGAGTACTAAACATTATTCACACAATATCTGATACTGTTAGACTTGCATTTCGTGGGACGTAAAAATATGTGAAACTTTCCAAAATAAAATTATATCATGATTCTTGCAGCTCTCACATCGACTGGGATGCATACAAAAACCTGAAAAGCAACCCTCGTTGAAGCTTCCTAATTGCATTACTTTTTCAAATTCACTGTATTGAAAACATATATCAATCAACTCCTATGATCATAGTTTCAAATCCTATAAGCAAAGTTTAAAACCCCAAATTATCATTAAAGGTTATGCTGCAACCGATAGCTAAATCAAAGACTAGTGTTCCTATGCAGGAAATAAAAAAACAAGGCCAGTCTTTGCAAGAAGTAGCAGACAAATACGATAGAAAGTTAGAATCACTTATCGAGTTTCCCCATATAAACATTCTGGCTTTGTTTGTTACAAGGGACTGTCTTGGAGTGGACTGACTTGGCTTGGACGACACAAGGCCAGTGCACCAAAACACTGGATATTTTTCCTAGCCAAGTAATACCCTCTTTTACACGGTGAAACAAAAAGGGGCTCTAAGTTCTAACAAGGCCCCAAATCCAACCAAAGAAAATACTACAAAGAAAATGCACCATCTGTATCACCTACAATACATGTATATCTAACATCACATTATGTATCGTGCAACTCTGTTGATGGGGTCAAGATTCCCGCACAAATTGACCTTTTTACAATCCATTGCAATTCAAAACAGCAAGCATAGGTCCCATCGTCTAATGTCAAATTCCTATGAATCTACCCAACTTGATAGGATGCATCATGTATATAGTAGCGCAACTTCTCAATCCCAAATGACACAATCCTACCCATCATAGGTTCTTCGAAGCCTCTTTAGTCGAAACACAAATATATGCACCATTGCATCTATAACTTCCAGTTTGACTCATCCTTGTACCAAAATTTCCTATGATTTCCTAAAACCATTACGTCTATGCAGTCTTAAACAATTGCATCTATGCAGATACGTCACCTTAATTTGTAGATTAGCATTCAGCTAGAAAGAAACATAATTTACCCTCACAAAGTAGTAATTGGATTTAAGTTTTAACCTCACTAACCACTATAGCAAAGACAGAAATGACGTATGAAAAACCCTAAATCAAAAGAAACGATCCCAAATCGAAACCCAAAATTGAAAAAGATGAGTACCGGAAAAGGCAATCTACTTCTGGATATGGGCAAACGCCTGCTCCACGAGCTTCTTGTCCCTTCTCTCCATGGCCACGTCCCACATGTCGTTCCCGATGTGCTTCGGCTGCCCAAAACATCACAAATTTCAACTTTCCCAAATCACAATCGCATAAAAATTTTCAACTTTCGAAATCAGAGTCACACAAATTCAAACAATTTCTAGAGAGAGAGAGGGAGGTGGAAATGGATCTGAGAGAGGAACGAACCCGGCCGTGGGCGGCTTTGTGAATGTAATACTGAGCATTCCCCATGACGCAGAGCATTCCGGCTATGATTCCGAGAGGAAGTAGTGCTTCCATCCATACCAGCGACATCTTTCTCTCTCCTCGGCTCTACCTCCACAGTCTGTAACAGAAACGATAGTCGATATGCGAGAGACGGAGACTCCTTTTATTTTTATTTGTCAAAATAGCACGGAAAGTTTTCGTTTTGTGCAATTACCACCTGAATAAAGTATTTTTTACAATTAACCATCAAAACTTTATAACTTTTAATTAAAATGGTATTTGAGATTGACATAATTATTTACTTTAATCCGTGAGATTTGAAATTGACATAACTGGTTCTTAAGTTTCCTACCATCAATCATTTTGGTCTTTAAATAAAGGGCCAAAATAACAAAAGTACTCTCATTTAGTAAAATAGACCGAAATGATTTGACAAAACTTGATTGTATTTTTGTCCTTTTATACATATTAAATGAAGATTTTTCACAAAAAAAATATCAAAATAATTGATAGTGGACAAACTCATGATCAATTCTATTTATTTCAAATTTCAGGAAGTAAAGTAAGGAGTTATGTCAATCTCAAAGAGTATTTCGGCTAAAAAAACCAAACTTTATATAGGTGCTAAATTACTACACATTTTGACTGTGGGTGGGTAGTTGTGTAAAATTACCAGTGAGCCCAGTTCGAAAACACTTGTTGGTCCAGTGGGCCAGATTGTACTTTCCGGATGTCGGATCCTGTTTTCTTCTCATCTTCCCAATTTTAAGTGAGTTGTTCAAGTGACAAGTAAGTTTGGTTCTACAAGTTTTTCGAGCTAAATTTGGTTAGTGTGTGTAAGTATAAAATTGACGAATTATAGTTTATGTTAATAGAGTTACATCTAAGTAATAATTAAACGTTAACTATATTAATTACGAGTAATGCAAAACTCGGAAAAGTCTTCTGACATAATTAGTTGTTTATGACAAAGCGTGAACATGTCTTATAGTTTGAGATGTGCTTGTGTTTTATAGTGTGTTGTATGATGCGCACAACTCGAATATAAGACAACTGATGACACACACAACTCATATGTAAGTGAGTTGAAATTTAATATAAAACTGACGAGTTACGACAACAATTACTGAAATCATGTCTGTTACTAACGTAATGATGTAACAACGATAAGTTCTTGTACATAGCTTGTCTTTTTTCCTTTTATGATAATGCTTGAAAATAATTGATTGTTTAGAATGATAAACCCTAAACCATATGCTGAAAGACATAAGAAGGCAATCCTTTTTTATCCTTTCATCTTCTTTCTTTTGTAAATTCTTCTTACCATATTTGGATTGCAACATGCACAAAGTAAATGAAAAGTTCGATGTGCTGTCAATAATCTTAAAACTAATGATCTAATACCAACAAATCTCAATGTGTAATATATGCTGATGCATATATATTAGGAGATTCTGTTGTCTTTGCATCCGTATAAAACAAGTGGTATACATTTCTTCTTCGTTTTGAGTTGAGTTGGATGAAAAGACTGGTCAAAATCTTGGCTTGCATCAGCATCACGATCATTTTTCATGGAGCTTTCGAGCACCACCGTGAGTTTGACAGTATTTACAGATATTTATTCGTATTTGCGATTTTTTCCCCTTTTAATTTCATATTATTATTATTATTCTTCTGTATGTTAGGCTTAGTGGCAGAGACAGTGATCAATATCTATCTAGGGTTCATGGTCCTATAAAAGTAGAGCTAAAAATAATCAAACACAAAAGCGAGCTCAGGTTGTAATGTTCAGTGCCTGCTAAAAATTCAATGTCTTGTCCAACAGGAAAGTAAGGCAGTAGCTTATGGCATGTTTGGTACTATACTTGAATCTAACTTTTTAAACTTAAAAATAATTTTCAAGTTTTAGACCTTAAAAACTTATTTTGTATGATTATTTTTAAAAAATTGAACTTAAGACTAACTAAAAAATATAGTCTAGTCCAACAGGAAAGTAAGTCAGTAGCTTATGACATGTTTGGTACTATACTTGAATATAACTTTTTAAACTTAAAAATAATTTTCAAGTTTTAGACCTTAAAAACTTATTTTGTATGATTATTTTAAAAAAACTGAACTTAAGACTAACTAAAAAATATAGTCTAGTATCTCAAAACATAAAAAGTGAGTTTTTAAACTTAAACTTACTTCTTTCTCTTCTCTTCCTCCTCCCCTCTCACTCCAAATCTATGTCTCTCTCTTTTCTTTTTTCTTTCTCTTTTTTTTTTACCTTATTCGTCTCTCCTCTAATCCGCTATCTTCATTATCTTGGTTCTTTTTCTCACTCATCTTCCTCTCTATCTCGCCTAATCCTCTCTATTCTTTCTCTTTCCTTTAATCATCTCTTACTTTCTTTCCTCATCTCTCATTTTTCTCCCTCTCACGCGACCCCTTTTTTTTAGATTTTTTTGTTTAGTTTAAGTCGTAAGATTTAAAAATATTAAATCGCAAACCAATCAAATTTTTGAGTTTTAAAGAAAATTATTTTTAAGAAATGATAAAAATGTTCAAATATGATATCAAATAGGTCCTTAAAATCTTCACATTTATACAAATACTTTTGCATTTTTCTTTTCTTCTTTGAGAAAATTTTGGTTAACAATAACATGGATATGAAAGAGGATATAAACCCTAACACGTGAAGAGGAGGTGTTATTGACCTTTTCAGTTGTTCATATTTTTCATTGTTGCGCACGATGAATACACAGTTTTGAATTTGGTTAATTTTCGTAGAATTAATCTTTCAAGAGTACGTGATCTAAAATTATTTACAAGATGAGAATGAGAACCGAGAATGTCTAAATGAGAATATTGTTGACATTACTTGTACGAAAATAAATGAGCATCAAATACAAATTACTTCAATCTAACTAGCTACGAGCCAAGCCTAATGACACGGAAGAGAATCTGAATCAACTTCTACCACCAGAGTACTGCTGCTCACTAACAACAAATTGAGTCCCATCAAGAACCAGGGTACCAACGGTTTTTATTTTTCAAAAACTAATAAAATTCTATGTGACATAATTGAAAGGTAAACGTCAAACGAAGAAGTGACGACACCACACACTAATCAAATCATCATAAAAACCAGATTGATTATTTAATATTTGGATACTTCCAAAGTCCAAATACATGGACATACACACACATATACATATAAGGTCCTTTATGCAAAAGAATTTTAATTTTTTTTTTCATAAAATAGGAATTAGGTGTAGAGCTCACTCCACATCAAATTTTAACGATATAAACCGTCTATTTTGTAAATCTCTATTCATGATTATCCTTGCAAAAATTCAATCCGAAACCATTTGCCTATTTAATTATCAAGATCAAATTTCATTATTTCTTATATAACAAAGTATTCGTTCATTTCTTTGAATCCAATAAGATGTCTTGAACATTTCCGATTTGGCTAATATTTTATAAGGATGATCTATGAGGTACAACTTGAAAAATAGACAATTCAGATCGTTAAAATTAAATGTGATGTGAACCCCACAACTAATCCTTATTTTTATAAAAAATAAAATAAAAACCCCTTTTCTTCAAGGCTTTCTATACCTATATATATATATATGAAAGTTGTATAAGTCCTGTCAAACCAAACCAGCATGCATGTGTGAGTGGGGGGTGGGTTTAAGCTTTATACTAATCGCCATTATATCACTACTAAGCTGTTGAATACAGCTGCATGTTTCCTGCAACAAGTCCAACAACCACCACCACAACAATATTAGCAGTAACCTCTGCAGACTGTAGCTGTAGGTACCACCACTCCACCACCATCACTTTTAACCCTCACCTCCACCTCCATTTTATATATCCTTTTTGCTTCCCCACCAATCATCAAAAGTGTTAAATTCGGTTGTAGCAATTACTGTGCATAAATTTGGCCGTTGGACATATTAAAACTGCTTTTCACACTCTTTTCATCTAAAAAAAAGATCGTAGATTAAGTTTGTATAATTTTTTTTTTCTAGGTCGCTAATTAAAAATTAAGAGTATAAATTACCACTTTAATCCTACCAACAGTGCCTACAGGGCGATGCTATTTTTTTAATCTTTAATTAAAAATGACTATGTTTGGTGGAGCGAGAAGTTTTATGATGTGAGTAGAGAACGATGAGTGAGAAATAAAAAAATAGGAAAATGACTTTTATACACTCTTTTATTCTTTAAAGTACATTATGTTTAATTTTAGCCTTTAGATTGATTGAATAACAGGAAAATAGAATGGTAGAAATAAACATATGAGTGTGTAAAAAGAGAAAAAATAGTGTATATAAATCATTTTCCGAGAAGGATAATGCATGAGAGGTCTTAGGTGGGAATCACGTGGATGAAGAATTCAATACAAAATTAGGTTGCCCATTGTGTGATTTAGCCAAACTTCCACTCTGGTGTAAAATTATCGATGTACTAAAAAAAAAAAATTTCGAAAATTTTGAGCTTGAGGTGAAGGCTATACAAATGCATGAGTGGGGAAAAATATTGTGGTTGTTTAGTAAAAAGCTGTTATTTTAATCAACAACAATTTGTAATCAATAATTGAATGATTCGATGAAATCACATATGAAGAGAGATTTTCTTTTGACAATTCACGTGCATGTTGTTAATAAAATTTCTTTCTATAGGAAATGCTTTGGGAGTTGTTAACATGTGTGCGACCGTTTACTGTTAAAATCTCCTCGAAGGGAAAATACATCGAAACTCATTTTTTATGTCTCTTTAATGAGATTTAGGATATTAAGAGATTGATTTCACAACGTAAAATTGAGATAACAATTTAGTTATAGAAGCTAAATAGGTATCATATGAGGAAGGAAAACGAATCAATATTTCACTTGGTAAGAAACCTAAACAGGAAAAATGAAGGGGCAAAAATGAAAACAAACATTGGCTTTGTATGGATGATGATTGCCTCCATTTTTTCAAAAAAGCAAACACGTTTTAAATACTTGAAAGGCAAGAAGGGTAGGAGGGTCTCCGAGTAAATCAGTGTTATCTCTATTTGTCGAAAATTCTCTATTTCCTTTCTTGTCACATCTGATTGAAATGTCATTTGTTTTGATTGAAAATATTTTTCTTAAGAGAGTTGAAAATTGAAGAGATTTTACGGCGTATTTAA